AAGTGTCACTCCGCATGCTGTCAGCCAGGTTTTGAGCTACTAGTAACATTTCTTTCAAGTGTCTTTTGAAAAGTATCTACTCGCCTTAGAAGTGATGTGAGTTGAGTAGTAAGTATCATACTAGTTATTTGTTTGCCATATGCATTTGGGGTGAGAACTCTGAACTTCTGCTCAGGTGTACTCTTGGTTTTACTGAGACTACTTGCCTAAATAAGGTGGGCTGCTGGATTATGTGGCTGGTGAATCATACTGGTTTCTGAATCACTCTTGAGAATCATAGAATCTTACAAAATACCAGCCTGAAATACTAACAAATAATGAACACATTGCGCTTGGACTGGTATATTATTTAAGGAATAGCATTTTGAAGCAGAATATTTTGTAAAATGTTAGTTTAAAAACCACTTTGCAATTTATTCCATCAAACCCATTGTATCAGGAAAAATTCCTCCTTCAGAAGGGAAGGGGTGTCAGTATTGTGGAATAATATCTGATTTTAATCCAGCTATTTGTTATTTGAGCTCCCTTCTTTTCAGTGCAAGGAGATCAGCTGACAACAGCAGCAACCAAATAATGTTTGCAGCTGAGCAATTACAGTAGACCCTAAGATCTGCAACTGTCAACCATGAACGCAGATGCCTTCAAAGTTCTGTTTTTCTTCCATGTGGAAGTTGTTGGCATGGAACAGATGCCTTCATTTTGGAGGAACCAACCTCTGGATATAATTGGTTCTCTCTTCTCTTGTTCTCTAGGGACAGTCTCTCGCAGATGAAATTAGATGAGAGAAAAAAAAAAGACACAGGCACACACACTTGCATATGACACAAAGCAGGAGTTTTCAGGATCCCTCTCTGTTTTGTCACGTGGAACTATTTTACAGCTGAAAGATTTCTCTCCATTTTTAGCACTCTACACACATGGTGATGATGCTGTATGAAAAACATGCAGATGAAAATATGTATCTGGCCAAAGTTTGTTATTAATCCAGGCATGCTTGTTTAGAAATAAGACAAGCATATCCAGACCATATTACTTAGTGTTAAATGTTGACTTCTGCACTATCTATCTTAAAGTTAAATGGCAGAAGAGACAAGATGCTTAAAAAACCTTTAGTTTCAGTACTGGAATGAAAGCATTTTCATCAAATGATTTGGTAGTTGTTAACATGGCAGGGAAAAAGCAAAATGTGGATGTCACATTTCACCTAGCATTGCAGGCATTCAATTAAGGAAGCACCTTTACAGGAACTTCAGCAGAATTAGTCTGCTGAACATCTGTGATGGGCCCTTGCCTGGAGTCCTGTGGTAGGGTACTGAAGTGACTGTGTCCTCTTACTGCAGATACCAAAAATAAGATGATGGTAATGGGACTTATGGGGTCTAAGAGGGAGAATCTGCATACTTTGTGCCTATCAAAGGGTTCTGTCACCCCCTTTCCCCTCTGGTGTAAAAGCTATCAAATGACTGTGGTTTATGTTATTTAATACTATTAAAATAAATTAATGCCAACTTCAGGTTGTGAATAGTGACAGTCTGGCAGTGCTGTGTGTTCTTTGGTAGACTTGGTAGCTCCAGGAGGATGGTGCAGCAGAGATCAAGGACTGCCAGGAGTTAAACTGACACTGATGGTGCCCAAAAGCCTGGAGGCCTGTCATCTCTGAATGCCTCTTCTTTCTCAGGTTTTATTTCCTAGCATAACTGGGGTTTTTTGTTTTTCTTTTGGTTTGGTTTGATATTGCAGTTTAATTTAACAGTCTATATTTGATGTGATGTATTTACTACTACGGTGGTGTTTCCATCTCTTAAAGTTGAGCATAAATGTCATCAGCAGTGACAACTGTCAGGAGTTATCTTGGTCCTGCCTTGGTCTGGATAGCTGGCAGAAGGCAGTCCGCCATTTAGACACTTGATGTACGTGGATACCTGCTGTATGCTGTGGTCCTTTGTTGCCTGCTGACCCACAGAAGCTGTGTGGGTGGAGGGCATTTGTGGGGACTTCCAGCATTTAGAAGGAAGCCTGAAGTAAACTTAGTTTTGAACTGATGACTCTTCAGCTTTTATGAAGGAGTAAGGAGATTCTTGGCTGTAGGCCTCCAGTTCCGATTTGCAGAACTGGAGTGCAACAGTGTGCTGCTCTTAGCATTGTATTTCTGAAGAACCACATATTAAAAGAATAATTTAACTGGAGAAGTGCTTAGGTGATGAAGGGATTTCTGGCAGTAACTAGGAAGTACAATAGTGGTTGATTTCTTTTGAGGCTGATCCTGATATTTGTAGTCTTTACATCCTATTAATTCCTTGAAAGATAAGCTGATACAAGAACGATTTGCCAGGGCCAATGGCTCTTCTAAAAATGTTGGCTTGGGTTATGTCCCCCTTCTCTCCACATATAAGATAAAAGCACTGTGAATATGAGGTTAACTGAATTCAAATAGAAGACTCTCTAGAGTTATTGCATTCCTTAGAAAATAAATACATTTCTCATATGGTTGAGATTGATCAAAAAAGTATTCTGTATGCCAGTGATTACATTCCCATCTGTGATTAAGGTTTTCTGTCTGCATCTGGTTTTCACATTATATTTCTGTAACAAGAATCCTTTATATGGCAGAGTTCACTCTCTGTATTTTCTATTAGCTGCAGCTTGAACTACTGCACGGATCGCAGATTTACACATGTGGTTTTCATTACTTCATACCATTGAGAAAAAGTAATATTTGTTTGGGAAAGTATGTTTTTCAGAATTTCCATGGTAATACAACATGTTGATCCTTTTTTATAACACTCTTGTAAGACTACAAATTGTTAGAGGCATTCTACTTTCAGTGAAGTTCAGACATTAGACAATTTTGCATGTACATTTGAACAACAGCAGCAGTTTACAATTCAGGAGGCAAAAACATTTTAAAAAGGAGATTAGTGTAGAATGAGTATAGCAGAATGCGTCCATCACTTTGGAAAACGTGGCAGGTAGAGAAAATGAACATGGGGCTGAAACAAAGGAAGAGAGTAGGGAGTTAAAGTGATGTCTTTATTGTAAAGTGGACGACAGATGGGTACTTTTTTTAAAGAACTTTTTTTACAGTAAGAGGTTTAAAATCTTTTACCAGCCGTGAAAAAGGAGTATGCTGTTAAGCAGACACAAATATTGAATTGTTATATGTTACATAATGTAACATATTTGATAATTATTTCTAGTGGCCAAATTAGTAAAGGTTAGCAAAACATGAATACGTCTTTACAGATGGCTGCTGTGTGTAATTCTGAATGCAAAATATGATGTTAATTTAATGTTCCACTCTGAGACTGTATATCAACCAGATTGTGCTAACGTTACTTGGTAGAAAACTTAATGTTTAAATGATCTCAGTGAAATTAATAGGGCCACTTGGTCAGTGAGGGATTTTTCAGTTTTGGTAGGGGCATGAGTTTATGGCCATAAAAATCAGATCAAACAATAACAACAATTCAGAGAACATTGTATGCATTTATGGAAATGTAAAATGTTATGCAAAAATCTGGGCCATTGAAAAGTACGCAGTTCATGGTAAGGCACAACTGAAAGGTAAATTTATTGCCTATGTAAGAACATTGTGACAAATAAAGAATTTCATATGAAATAAAAATAATTTTAGAAAAGTAGTTATTGTACCCAAGTTGAAGAGTCCTAACCACATTTTGGAGGTTATTTTCCAAAGGCCAGAGGCAGCTGTGTCACATTGAAAGGTCCACAGTTGCCAAGTTCTGGGTAGAGTCTTTACATGCCACTCGGTTTCACTGAAATCAGTGGAATTTGGGCTTCTGTCAGGGCTGTGGGGAAACATCCAACCACGAACATGGGAAAGAAAGGACGTTGATTGGTGAACTCCTTTGTTCTGTAACCTTAACCTTAGCTTGGAAAGGTTTGTTTTGATTTGAGAAAGGTGCTTCTTTGTCGGAAAGATTGCAATTTCTAGTACAAACACAGGGTTTTTTTGGAAAAAAATACAAGATGCAAAGAAAAAAAAAGAAAGATGCTATCTTTTGCAGTGCCCTTGGGCAATGCATTTCTTTGCAGAAAGATCTAGCCCAGGGAGAGGCTTGGGGCTGGGCTCCTGGTGAGATGCATGTAGCTGTGGCTGGATCCTTATGCATGCTTAACTTTGTGTCCCGAAATACCTGCATAGTGGATGCAGATGGAAGCATGTACGTAGCTGTGTCTGCCTGGCTCTGAAAAACGTTCTGTCTTGACATAATTATGAACCCCTGAAAAGCATATTAATGTCTTGGAAAAACTGACAACCCCTTAATACAGACTCATACAAATGACAGAATATTTGTGTGATCCAGATGAACAGTGTTTGTAGGTGTGGGAGTGGGAGGGAAATTGCCTTTTCCAAAGTGGGAGGATGATTTGTAAATATATCAATAACTTTTTGATCTGCCTTTCTTTGTTTAAATGTGTTTGCTGTTATGACTTACAAATCCAAATTAGTACAGCTATGTGTAAACTGGCAGGTCTCTATCTTTAGTAATCATGTTCATTTAATAAATGATTCTCTAGAGCTTCTGTTGAACCAGGTAAAGTATGTAATATTTAATCTTATATGAATGTATTTAAACCCAAGCATTTTTGCAGAATCAGCTAATAGGTAGAATACAGGCTGCCCTTAGTTTCTTGCCTTCTATATGTCAACTCTTTTAACTGAGCAAGTTATGAAACAGTCTTTGTCAAAGAATTAATACAGCTTTAAAGTACTGTCCTTATAATGTGGCTAATTGTTTTAGAATTACAGCATTTCTGTCTTCCCTTTTTATTTAAAAGACTGCTAATATCATGCAAATGTAGGGGTGTGGTGTGCTTCAAACTGGCTGTGATATATGCCTTTTTTTCTTTTTTTTCTCTTTTTTTTTTTTTCATTTGTTGTTGTCAATAGAAAAGATTGATCTCTGGACTGGTGAACATAATATCTGTCCCAGTCAGAAAAGGAAAGAGGAAATTAGCAGAGCGATTGGTGGAGAATGATATCTGTCAAAAGAAACACTTGGAGAGCACTGAGTTTAGTGATAGGTGACTGCCGGAAAAAGGGGAACTTTGAATTTTGTCAAGGTAAGGAACAGAAAAATGTTTGATTTTATAATGTACATACCTTTTAGAAGTTATTTTTAATGACTGTACGTTGCCTCGTAAACTGTAATTAAAAAAGAAATCTTTCCCTTTAGCCTCCAAAGAGTCTGCCTAAATCAATGAAGTTGCTGTCTTTGTTTTAATATCACTGAGAAAGAGTACAGCAATGCCAATAAAATCCATCAGTGATGACTTTTCTAAAATCTTAAATACGTATATGTGGAATTTTTTACTGTGGTTTTTTGTGTGTGTTTTTGATGACGTAGGTGCTCTTTATGTGTCATGTAAATATTACTTGGCTGAGTTTTGGAAATAATAAAGTTAAGTTTCCTGAATTGTGAAGTGGAACAGTACTTGCAACCAGGTTAAGGGGCAGTTGTCATGACATTGGCAAAATGGTTGGCTGTAAGTTAGTGGAAGCCTCTGGTAAACTCATTGCATTGAGAATCTGTGATAAATTTGATTGAGATGGTATTGAAAATGGATATTTCTGCTTCTTGTGTGCAAAGATTTTTACCATACTGGAAAAGTAAATCTGCTATTGCAGGACAAAATTTCCATATAACTCATGACTGTTATTCCTGTCTTTACCGTTAACTATGTTTTTTTCTCCTGAAATGTTGTGTCTGGATGGCAAGAAACTGCTAAACTGATTTTAAGTACTTTCCAACACTTGGACAACTTTCCTTCTCAGTGTTGGACCATATCACCTGGCATAACATTGACATAGCATGATACCAAAGTAAGATGAACAGTGTCTGAGTACTCTAGGCTATGCTCTACTTAGTTTTAAAAGTACCTAAGCCTTGATCATATCACTTGCCTTTCCACCTGGGATGCAGTGGCTCATGCTGCTCTGTCTATGGAGTGTGGAGAGGAGAAGGAGAACAGCTGAGAGTGCCAGTGATAGCCTCTGCCCATCACCTTGTGGCAAGTGGCCTGGGCTGAGGTTTTGTGCACCACTGTGAACATACTTTTTAAAAATTAAATCCTATTAGAAATGACTTTGCATTCTAATTTGAGTTCCTAGCTCAGTTTAAAATGAGTAAATGCTTCTCTGGAACCTTCCTGTACTCAGGCAGCATTGGAATAGAATGACTACTCTTAGCAGGGTTTCTTCTTGCATTTTTGTTTTGCTGATTTGGCAGTGTGTACCTTCTGACTAATTCTCCTTCTTACTATTTGCAGTCTGTTTTTCAAAGTGCAGGTGGTTCTTGGTTGGTTTCTTTTGCCATGTGGGTCTTCATAAAGGATTTTAAAAATAAATAAATGTAAGAGTAAAGATCATGCCTAAAGCATGTAGTGCTGGCATACTAATAGGAAGCTTATTGTGGTTCATTGCTGTCAGAGCATGTGCAAGATAATGGAAATTTCCTACAATTTAGGAGAAAGGCATTTTGCTAATACCATCCATTTTTATAGAAAGGGAATTAATATGACTAAAATTCACTTCATCTTTATAAAGTCCAAATGACCTGTTTGTACTACTGAATTATTCATAAATGGGAGGGGACAGCACCTTTTCTCTCTTGTTCACCTTTGTGCAGGTCAGCCTGCCTGTATCACCTGGGTGCAGACACACCTCTGCCGCTGTGAAGTTGTTGTGTACTAAATACCTTTCCTGTGCAGTTCTATCAGTTTAGTCTTATACCAAAACAATGTGTCCTCTCTATAACACATCTTACAGAGTTAATGATACTGTATAGTTTTCACCTTGGTAATGAAGATAATCCAAAGCTGCTTTGTAGCTCTTAGAGAGTGATCAGTGGTCATTAACAGTTGTTAGATCTTTGGGCATTCCCATTTTGACATTTACTTGAATTGAGGTGACTGGGTAAAGTACTTACATTTAGATGTATTTGTTACATGCTCAAAAATTTTAGTCTTAAATGTAAATGAAGCGCCACATTGAAGTTTCACTGAGTGATTAGAGATTAAGCCAACACTGCCAGAGCTAACTTAGTGTGGATTTTGCTGTGCCCGAGAACTTGCTGTTTGAAACCAAAACGGAATAAAAGGTGTTTGAGTCTATCACCTCCACGAAGCAACTTGTCTTGTAGCACTGACTACCTCTGCTGAGGCAGCTTTCAAGCATCCTCATCTTTGTTTTGCTATTGCAAAGTCATCTTTTCTTGGTTTCCTTTTTTTATCTTCAAAACAATTGTTTGCAATGTATCTTAAAGAGTACAATGGGAATAATAAACCCCCATTGTAACATACCACAGATGCAAAAGGAGATGAGTATATTATAGACAGTGAATTGTCCTTGCAATCAGATTTCAATCTGTTCATGTGGTGCACACCTGTGGCTTTGCTGGCATTGCTCTTGATTGGAGTATGAGAGAGCTTAATGAAAAACAAAGCCAGGATGACAAGAAGAGACTCCATGGAACACATGGGTTACTTCACACATTGTAAGAAAGTGAAATTCAAAATATACTGTTTTGGAGGGAGTTCCGTGTGATGAGGGAGCCTGAGTGCCTCTGCAAATGGAACCGGTGCTCTGCTCATTGCTAGCTTGCAAAGAAGTTGTTCTTCTCTGTAGCTCAGGTTGACTTGGGCTAGTTGAGAGCAGTGGCCGATTTCTCCAGCTTACTTTCTGAGCCAGCAAGAGTATCCTGGGCAGGAATCCAGCTCTTGAAGTACAAAGCAAATAACCCATAATCTATATAAAATGCTGGTGGATGGGGAAAGGAGGAAATTTACAGGGAATAACTGAGTTTGATAACAACTGTGGGAATAACTGAGTTTGGGAACAACTGTGTTAAAAGTAGAATGTAGGGGGAGTGTGTGTGTGTGACAATAGTATTTATTTTAATTTGAAAATACGATCTTTGAAACGTTCGAGGTGAGCAGAGAACGAGTTCTTGCAATGTGATATGTTTATTAGTAAACTGAAACCAAGCATTCCAGCTCAAGTTCCTTTTTCAAAGTGATTTTTTCCCTGAGTTTGCAGAGTTTGGGTTCCTTCTCCGCAACCCCCCTGTAATGTATTGTGGCTCTGATAACGTTAATGGGCTTTGCCCCACATGGAGCAGTGAGTGTATTGTACCACTGCTCACTGATCCCGGGTCAGTGTGATGCGTGAAATCAATTTATTTGAATCTCTTTGCCTGTATAGGAATTTGGCAGCATGCCAGTTGTTTTCATTTAATGTTCTTTGTGTTGAACACAGACAAGCAGACATGCTTTTGTACTCCTCTTTCTTCTGGGCTTTTCTCTTTTCAACCAATATTCTATTCTGTGGATTTTTCAGAAAGAAGTAGGAATGTGTTACCTTTTTTAAAAATCATTTTTGTTTAAATAGCCTTTAAAGAGCATAGAAACTAGGTCAGTCACAGAGCAGCCCTGTGTAGGGTTTTCACCAAGTACAGGTGGTAACACCTGCATTTTCCCATTTCTTAAATTAGGGGGAAAAAGAGAGAAAACACTGGTCTGTTTTTCTAATGCCTAGTTCTATGATTTATGTCCTCTTGTAAGGCAAAGACTCTTAATAATGCTTGAATCAGAATAATTTTATTGCTAAATAAGTGTAGATCTGGCAGTTGGTTGGATGAATTGGCAGTACTTTTCAGGATTTTTTTTTGTTTTGAGTAGTGACCTTAAACTAATCATTAACTTGGGAATCCCTTGCCTCATCTTTCTGTCTGTTCTTCCCCTCTCCCTGATAAATTTAATATTTTGAACAGCTGGCTGAAGAACAGCTACCCAAAAGTACCCAGTCCTTTAATTTTTTCCTTCCTTTTATGAGACAGCAGCAAGGGGTGTGGAACAGAGCAAGTAATTTAGTCCTGCTTAAATGGGGGAGAGAGAAAAAAAAAGAAAGGAACAGCAGCAGATAAATCCATGAGGATTTGTTTTGGAGCCCGGTAGAGACTAGATTGAGGCAGAGGCAGAGAGCAGCAGTAGAAGACTGTTGATGCTTGGGGCGGTGGGTGCGGAAGTTGATGTGCAGAACCACAGAGCCAGGGTGAAAGGGTCAGACTCGTCCACATCAGCCCTGTTTCCTTGTTTAATTACCTGAAGAGCAAAACATCCAGGCTGGGAGTGTGTGAAAACCCAGTATCTTGAACAGCAGTGTGCTGCTCTGACATCCTGTGAGGCCAGCCCCGTCTGTCCGCAAACGTCAAGGCTGGTTCCTGACAGCAGGCTATCTCTGCCGGGCCTGGGTTCCTTCCATTCAGGAGGCATTGTGTGGAAGAGGGTTTGGTCAGGAATTTGAGGTTCCTGCCGGTTCTTCCAGCCCGGACAACCCTGTGACAGATAGGCCTGATTTTTTTCTTCTAAAGAATAATAATAAAAAAAAAGTGGCTCTTTTTAGTTTTTCCCTTGTAATTCTGGCATTGGTATAATGCAGACTGAAACAAAACATGTTAACCCTTTTTCTTCTGAATTTGTGTCTTTTTTCTTCTACTTCATTTTTTGTCCCCCTGGTTGTACCTCTTTTATTTTCAGAGGTCAAAGTCTTCTGAGGAGCAAATTATTTGAGGTGGAGTGTGTGCTATGCCGCAAATAAACTTTTGAAAGTGCTATTTTTTTCGTAGTTATCATTAATATGATCATCATACCTGGCATGTTAAGTTTGTCATTTTCAGCAAGCTTGGCAACATTATTTTTATTCATCCCATGGGTTCAAACCAAGCCAGAGTTTGTTTCTGGTGTGGCCCATTTAAACAGCAGCAGCTATCAACGCTTCCATTCTCATTATTCATGTGATTTTCTTAGATGTCCAATTTGGTGTTCAGTTTTAAAGTGTTGGGGCAGGATCAGTTATAGTCCTTGCTCCTCATAGCTGTTGTTTGTTGATGTCACTCAGCTGGCTGAAGGAGCAGACAAGGCTCTGTGCACCACTCGGGTTTGGGTCCGTAAGTGGAAAGTGTTCATTGGGATGTAAAGCTCATGGTTATAGCTGAAAGATACTGAAAGGTTACTTAGGCAAAGGTCTTGAATAGGTGTTGAGTTTTTGTTTGGTTTTCGATTTG